CTCTTTATGTAATTATAGATGAAGACCCAACTCAAGCAGCACAAGCACTAACAACTGACCTTACTCCATGAATGAATGGGCAAACACATGGGACATACAATTTAACCCTAATATAACTAAATCAGTTACATTTACAAGGAAACATAACACAAATCACCCCACTATAACTTTTCAAAACAGCCAAATAACACACTCTGCATCACATACACACTTAGGACTTACTCTTAAAGATGATGCATCATGGAAACAACATATTCAGAACATATATGAAAAAGCTTACAAGAGACTCAACTTCTTCCTTACATAAAAATTACAGTAAATCGAAAAACATTAATTATAATTTATACTGCATTTATTAGGCCAATTTTGGAATATGCTGACATAGTTTGGGGTAACTGCACACAACAATGAACAGATCTTCTAGAATCTATACAATTAGAAGCGGAAAGAATTATCACAGGCCTTCGCTCGGGAACATCACATAATAAACTTTATACCGAACTTGGTTGGGAAACTCTGGCTGCCAGAAGAGAGAAACACAAATATATCGTGATGTATGAATTAATGCATGGACTCTCACCGCAATATTTACAAGATGTATTGATTCCCTTTACAAACAATCCTAATGAAAATCATTATTCTCTCCGACAAACTAGACTTTTTAACCCACCAATATGCAGAACTAATAACTACTTTGACAGCTTCTTTCCTTTCATGTGCCGCACAGCTAACAACACTGATACTAATCTTTTTGACTCTCCTACACTTGCAAGTTTGAAATGGCTGTTAGATAATAATACTATAACTGATAGTGAATCTGTTAAAATTTTCAAAACTGAAGGTGATAGAAGGGCAAACATTATTCTTTCCCAACTTAGAAATTATTACAGTGATTTAAAGTTTGATTTGCATCATGACCACCTATATGATAGTCCAGTATGTACTTGTTCAGATTAATTGGAACCAATCTCTCATTTTTTTCTAAAATGTCCTATTTACTATGATTTGCGGATTAATTTGTTCAACTCACTCAGTGATTATGCCTTTGACCATAACCATATCGGTTTGACATTATTTCACATGTCTGTCCTAGTTGTGAAGGTAACACAAACAGACTAATGCTTCGTGATATACATTACTTTATAGGGAAATCCAAACGTTTTAACTTTTACAAGATCTAGAAAGCCATTATATTGACAAAAAAATGTAATTTTCTATGAAAAGAGTTGAACATGGTTGTGAATTTATTTGATTATTTATTTGATAATGTAATAAATACATATTTTCACTTGTTTATTTTGTGCTCCTCTACAAAACGTTTTACCTATACTTTAGATAAATGTACATATCGGGTTATATATAAATCAATACACAGTTTGGGTGGTGATGACCTGTGCAGTACTTACACATGGACTTCTGGTCTATCTACCTAACTGTATCGAATGTTAAATAGTAACTCATGTGTACATGTGTAATTTTGATAATCAGTATAACTATATTTATGTTTTGTGTGTGTGTGTGTGTGTGTGTGTGTCGGTGTCGGTGTCGGTGTGTGTATGTCCCATGTTGTATTGCAAGTCATCAAAAGTTAGTTACCTCCCTTTAATTACTTTATCGTTTACATGTATGTATTTATTTAGCTAAAGTTCTAAAATATTCTTTTAACACTCTAGCCACCTATGGAAAGAATTTATAAAGGCTTGCCTGTTATTCAATCCATTTGACCATAACACCATGTCAATAAAATCTGTTGAAATGAAAATGAAATGCGGTGAAGGACTTGACTGGGTTTTTGTTACCATTCCTGACAAGCTAATCAATGAATTCAACTTCAAATGAAATTGGCCAGGAGAGGGTTACATTTGGATTCCATAGGAGTGCCTGCAGTCTGATGAAAATCTCGTTACCGAACTCAACAAAAATCATTTTCACCAGTACATTCCATTTTGGCATTAGTCGTGCCTTTCACAAGGTATGCTCCAAAATAATACAACCATATGTTTATATAGTCGCTCGCCTTTCTTGGAATAGAAAGTTCTCATGATAAGATCTAGTGAACTAAAGCATTTCCTCATACCCTAGGTAACATTGGAGATGTTGTAAAGGTGTGTCCTCTATATGTGAGTGCACGTAACATCCCCCCAAAGTGACGCATGAGGTGTTGTGTGTGCACGTAACATTCCCTAAATTGACACGTGAGGTGTTGTATGTGCACGTAACATTCCCCTAAGTAACACGTGATGTGTTGTGTGTTCAAGTAACCTTCCCTAAAGTAACACGTGAGGTGTTGTTTTTGCACGTAACATTCCCTAAAATAACACGTGAGGTGTTGTGTGTGTACGTAATATTCCCCAAAGTAGCACGTGAGGTGTTGTGTGTGCACGTAACATTCCCCAAAGAGACACGTGAGGTGTTGTGTGTTCACGTAACCTTCCCTAAAGTAACACGTGAGGTGTTGTTTTTGCACGTAACATTCACCGAAGTAGCACGTGAGGTGTTGTTTTTGCACGTAACATTCACAAAAATAACACGTGAGGTGTTGTGTGTGCACGTAACATTCCCTAAAATAACATGTGAGCTGTTGTGTGTACACGTAGCATTCCCCAAAGAGACACGTGAGGTGTTGTGTGTGCACGTAACATCCTCCAAAGAGACACGTGATGTGTTGTGTGTGCACGTAACATTCCCAAAAGTAGCACGTGAGGTGTAGTGTGTGCACGTAACATTCCCTAAAATAACACGTGAGGTGTTGTGTGTGCACGTAACATTCCCTAAAATAGCACGTGAAGTGTTGTGTGTGCACGTAACATTCCCTAAAATAACACGTGAGGTGTTGTGTGTGCACGTAACATTCCGTAAAATAATACGTGAGGTGTTTTGTGTGCACGTAACATTCCCTAAAATAACACGTGAGGTGTTGTGTGTGCACGAAACATTCCCTAAAATAACACGTGAGGTGTTGTGTGTGCATGTAACATTCCCTAAAATAGCACGTGAGGTGTTGTGTGTGCACGTAACATTCCCAAAAATAGCACGTGAGGTGTTGTGTGTGCACGTAACATTCCGTAAAATAAGACGTGAGGTGTTGTGTGTGCACGTAACATTCCCCAAAGAGACATGTGAGGTGGTGTGTGTGCACGTAACATCCCCCAAAGAGACACGTGAGGTGTTGTGTGTGCACGTAACATTCCGTAAAATAATACGTGAGGTGTTGTGTGTGCACGTAACATTCCCAAAAATAGCACGTGAGGTGTTGTGTGTGCACGTAACATTCCCTAAAGTAACACGTGAGGTGTTGTGTTTGAACGTAACTTTCCCTTAAACAAAGTATAAGGTTTGGGTGTGTCCTCCCCCTGAAGTAGCATGTACGGTGATATGTTGTAAGTTACTCCAAAATATCATAAAGTACTAGCAAGCGGGAAACAAGAAACCTAAGATATAATTCTACCTTAAGGCCCGGTCACACCGCCCGAACTTTGTTGGAGCGTTCCTTGAACGGTAGGGAGAGGGGACCGAATTTCGACAACGCTCGTCACCGCGCACAAAATGGGAAAAAATCGAAAACACGGGCGTTGCCTTAGTGGTGCACCGCTGAAGCCGGCGTTGCTATAGCGTTGGCTTAACGGTAGCGAGCGGTAGCGAACGTTGGTTTAGCGGTGACGCGAGCGTTGATAGAGCGGCGTTCTGCGCATGCGGGCGTTGGCTCGGCGGGGGTTTAAAGTTGGTTTAGCGGCATATTCCAAATGGGCTCCTGGTCCATTTATCCCCGTATTTATAGCCGAATTCTGGTCCCGCTCCGACACCTCCATACCAACGCCAAACCAAAGTTCATCACCGCAATGGATCGCAGCTTCAACGCCCGACACCGTTCCAGCAATCCTGTGTTCGCTCGTAAAACGCTTACAACCGCTCCACCAAAGTTTGTGCAACGTTTAATCACCGCCCGGGCAAAGCTGGCGAAGCAGCGGTGGTCCAGCGTTCAAGATTTCTGCGTTGGCCTAGCGGACCCAAGCGTCCACGAACTTGCGTCTAGCGGTGCCAAACTATGACTGGACGTTGTTGGAGCGGTGGTGAACTTTGCCGGAGCGGAAAATTGCCCGCTCCTCACCGCTCGCAATATTTTGTGCAGCTCAAAACTTTCGGAGCGGTAGGAGGGACCATAAGCGGTGGCCGAGCGTATACGGCGTTGCCTTAACGGGGGCCAACTTCTGGTGAACGGTAACGAGCGGTAACGAGCGGTGATGAAATTTTTTCACCGCTCCAGGAACGCTGCAGCAAAGTTCTTGCGGTGTGACCGGGCCTTTAGGTATTTGTATACAACAAGATTGTTTACTTGGTGACGGTATTCCTTACCGCTTACAGGCAATGCCTGTAAACAAAGAGCTTTAAAAGACGAATTTACAAAGACATAGTAACATAAGTAATGGTTTGTGTTGACGTGTTATGATACACTTTAGTAGTAGTTTACAATCGTTTAACCTATGGCAAGCTATGTGCATTGTAACATTTAACGAAAGAAGAATAATCTAACCTTAATCACAAGTAGTCAGAAAAAGAAACATTTTGCGATACATCGATAATGAACAAGATTTACAAATTAGTTAACGCCGTTTTCAATTACACCCTAGAAGCTCAGATATTAGTGTTGTATTTGAGCAACTGTAGTGACAAACATCGAGAAGCTTCATATTTGTATTCGGATAATTAAAATATATTTGGTCTTTTTGTATGTATTGGTCACGGACCATGAAATCACTATATAGAACCCAATAAGATGTGTATATATGGTTAAGTGTATATCTCTGGTCTGTAACGTGCCTATGTGAATAGATAATATGTTTTTTTTTTATACTGGTCACGAACCTGGAAATAATTATATAGGAACTATACATCTGGTCTGTAACGTGCCTATTTAAGCGGATGTAACGCAACGCCACTGTCCTACACGTCACATTGTTGGGCCATACTCATTATCCTCTGTAAGTCTGAGGGATGGAGGAGGCAGCCTCGTCTATACCAGTAAACAGGTGATCACTTATGAGATTCTCTCCTGTGAGTATAGTACCAATCAACCAGGTCATCGCCTATAAAGCCTCTTCATCACCAGGTATAACAGGCTGATGTTACTGATGCTGGAATCAATACAGATACGGCGGATACATTTGATTCCTGTACAGGAGTATTGGACTGGTAATCCGGAGGGTAAACTTCTATACACAGATGACCATACTGAACTCATGGACTACAGTAGCAAACTGCAGTTGAAGGAATTATTGCCATTTGTTGTATACAAAATAGTAAGTATAAAATGATAAATTGGGGAATGTAGCTTTACTATTACATTTAATTGTAAAATCTTGTGAATCAAAAATCGTTTGGAGGTAAATGTAGTTATACTATTCCCACTTTACCAGGGAACAGTTTATTATCATTGAAACAAAATATCTAGGATCTATGTAACTTTACGTAAATACTCAATGAAACGATAATATATGTGACATGTTGCGTTTAGATTCCTGTCAATAATTGAGCTTCTAGTAAATTAACATATCACATATACTGTTAATTACCTGTATTATTATACCTTACACTGGTCAGTGTTCATAGGACGTTAAATGAGTAAAACCTCGGCTGTTATCACATTTTTTCAGAAAATAATATTTTAGAAGACGTGATAGTCAAAGATTTACACAAATAATACGATTGAAAAAGTTTTTTCACTGTTAATTAAACGTAAGTTAGAAAATAAACTCAAAAGATGAACATAGTTACATATTGGTTGGATTGGAAACATTCTGAGGCTCATGCTAAACGCTTGTTGCTCTCACTTCATCGTGTATCGTCGATTTATAGACACTTAGTTAAAAAACCGTAATTTTAAAGCGCATTGTGTACTTTCAAAAACTTGATGATTTGGCCAAAAAACGTGTCGCTTGCTTGGAAGATATCTCGTACAAACGTTAATAACGATACTACGTTAATGCTATTTCATGTTATATTTAATAAGTTATAAGTTCGTTAGTTATAAGGAAATGTGCCTTGTTGTTTGTTGTCACTATACCATTTCTTGTCAGGATGATGTGACATTACTTTGATTTGACATATGTATACATTGCGGGTGTTGTCAATGAAGGAGAAATCGCTTAACCTTCCGGACTACCTGCTCCTGTTCCTCTTGTACTTTTCATACTTAGTTTTATCGATTGCCGTTTTGTTGACATTTCGGTATTTACTTTTATTCTTATATTTAAAAAAATGAAATCTTGTGTTTTGTACTCAAAACATCTGAACTTTTCATTAATCAAGGATACAATAATTATCATCTATAAATTATATGCGACTGTGGTCTATACACTGCTATGTGTTGTACGTATATGGTTAGATTTTCAACAATTGTCAGTCAATTAATATCTTTAGATCCTGTAGATGTTAACATTATGCCATATTTACAACAGTTTTCAGTCTGCATCAAAACCCTCTAGTTTCTGCAGATGTTTACATTGTGCCATATTTACAACAGTTTTCAGTCTGCATCAAAACCCTCTAGTTTCTGCAGATGTTTACATTGTGCCATATTTACAACATTTTTCATTCTATATCAAAACCCTCTCGTTTCTGCAGATGTTTACATTGTGCCATATTTACAACATTTTTCAGTCTATATCAAAACCCTCTAGTTTCTGCAGATGTTGACATGGTGCCATTTTTGTTTTACAGCAGGTGTAGGTATACATCAATACCTCTAATTTCTGTATATGTTAAGATAGTGCTAGCTTTTACAACTGTTAGCAGTGTATATCAACACCTTAAGTTTCTTCAGATGATGACATGACGATTATATATTATTAAGGTAAACATGACGATTTGTGCAGAAATATTAAAACAGCAACACATTTAGCTAAAATATACAAGTTTTAAGTAAAATGACATTTAGAAAAGTAATGACCCTTTTGTTAGCCAGACTATGTGAGCAGTACTCTAGAGAGTAAATCACTATACAGTATATATATTATAGTCGTTTATAAAACATTTGTAAATAAAAACTTACTCTGTCATCTTATGCCAAATGCACATTATAACCTTTATGGAAACCACACATTTCGTTGATCTAATTGCACTTTTCACTACAATCTTTTAATTGAATAATAAGTATGATGTTAAGTTAATTAGTGGAAATTTAAAATTAAACGAATTTAAAATGTTTAAATAAAATGTTCACCCCTCAGTTAACATAGTTAGGATTCCACTGCCCACCAATGAAAACGATACCGTACCCTTCACGTTGCACTGTTTCTGGGTGAATTATTGTCTGAAACCTGGATCACGTGATCATACATGTAGACGTCATTTTTATAAAGTTTGATTTCAAACTTTTTGTAACCAAGACCTCAGACTTATGATTCAGCTTAAAATTTTGATAAAAAAAGTTTTATAATGTACACAGTATGAATTAAATAATCAATTGTACTTTGTGTTGGAAGTAATCTGATTTCAGTCTCGAACATCTGTAATAATAAGCTTACAAGTCACGGCAGATACTATTTACATATATACATTGTCTGCCCTGGTTAATTTTAGGTTGTCATGGTTACAAGAGAATAACCATCAGCACCAAGATAAGTTTTACAGTCAGACTTAAAACACTTAAAAACAACGTCAATTCAGATCTTGGTGGTTAAACTTATACATGATAGGATAGCACCGAACTTTTAAATGACCTTATACAAATTGAAACTAGAACTGGTCCGGTATTAAACACAAGTGTTAACAAGTAAAAGTGAAAGTTCCAAATAGTAATAAGTAATTAGAACGAATAACAAATATATATTTGATACGAACATTACCTGTTAATTTGAAAACGCTACGTATACACAACTAAATACGATCGTTAGGAATTTAATCGCCGAACTAGAACACTTAATTAATTATGAACGAGCGATGTAATTGGCTGATACAGTAACGACTAATACGAACGTAAATAATCAAAACGGTAAACAAACCAACTCTTAATATGAATATCAGCAGTCTTTAGGGCTGGCATCATGCTAGTTTTATTTTTTCACACGTACATGTACCCCTTCAGGACCCGGATTTTACAGATACCCCTTTGGTGCCTCCGCACGTTGCGTGAGGTAGTAATTGTGTGTAAAATTAATCAACTACAATCCTCATGATAAATAAAGTCATGGGATAGTATTGTTGAATCAATGACTCGCATGGTAACACATTAGAGTTGTCATTAATGTGTGGACACCGTGGTACATACTTGTCTTTCCTTAGAGCTGTTGTCATTACTGTGTGGACTCCGTGGTACATACCTGTCTGTCATTTGTGCTGTTGTAATCAATGTGTAGACACCTTGGTACATACCTGTCTGTCCTTTGTACTGTTGTCATTAATGTGTGGACACCGTGGTACATGCCTGTCTGTCCTTTGTGCTGTTGTCATTACTGTGTGGACACCGTGGTACATACCTGTCTGTCCTTTGTGCTGTTGTCATCAATGTGTAGACACCGTGGTACATACCTGTCTGTCATGTGTGCTGTTGTCATTACTGTGTGGACACCGTGGTACATACCTGTCTATCATGTGTGCTGTTGTCATTAATGTGTGGACACCGTGGTACATACCTGTCTGTCCTATGTGCTGTTGTCATTACTGTGATGACACCGTGGTACATACTTGTCTGTCATGTGTGCTGTTGTCATTACTGTGTGGACACCGTGGCGTGGTACATACCTGTCTGTCCTTTGTGCTATTGTACTCAATGTGTAGACACCGTGGTACATACCTGTCATTCCTTTGTGCTGTTGTCATTAATGTGTGGACACCGTGGTAATACCTGTCTGTCCTTTGTGTTGTTGTCATTACTGTGTGGACACCGTTGTACATACCTGTCTGTCCTTTGTGCTGTTGTCATTACTATGTTGACGCCGTGGTACATACCTGTCTGTCATTTGTGATGTTGTCATTTTTTTGTGGACGCCGTGGTTCATACCTGTCTGTCCTTTGTGCTGTTGTCATTACTATGTGTACGCCGTGGTACATACCTGTCTGTCCTTTGTGCTGTTGTCATTAATTTGTGGACACCGTGGTACATACTTGTCTGTCATTTGTGATGTTGCCATTACTTTGTGGACGCCGTGGTACATACTTGTCTGTCATTTGTGCTGTTGTCATTACTATGTGGACGCCGTGGTACATACCTGTCTGTCCTTTGTGTTGTTGTCATTACTGTGTTGACGCCGTGGTACATACCTGTGTTTCATTTGTGTTGTTGTCATTGCTGTGTGGACACCGTGGTACATACTTGTCTGTCCTTTGTGCTGTTGTCATTAATGTGTGGATACCGTGGTACATACTTGTCTGCCATTTGTGATGTTGTCATTACTATGTGGACACGGTGGTACATACTTGTCTGTCATTTGTGCTGTTGCCATTACTGTGTGGACGCCGTGGTACATACTTGTCTGTCATGTGTGCTCTTGTCATTACTATGTGGACGCCGTTGTACATACCTGTCTGTCCTTTGTGCTGTTGTCAATACTATGTGGACGCCGTGGTACCTACCTGTCTGTCATTTATGTTGTTGTCATTACTGTATTGACGCCGCGGTACATACCTGTGTTTCCTTTGTGCTGTTGTCATTACTATGTGGACGCCGTGGTACATACCTGTCTGTCATTTGTGTTGTTGTCATTACTGTATTGACGCCGTGGTACATACCTGTGTTTCCTTTGTGTTGTTGTCATTACTGTGTGGACACAGTGGTACATACCTGTCTGTCCTTTGTGCTGTTGTCATTACTATGTGGACGCCGTGGTACATACTTGTCTGTCATTTGTGATGTTGTCATTATTTTGTGGACGCCGTGGTACATACCTGTCTGTCCTTTGTGTTGTTGTCATTACTGTGTTGACGCCGTGGTACATACCTGTGTTTCCTTTGTGTTGTTGTCATTAATGTGTGGACACAGTGGTACATACCTGTCTGTCCTTTGTGCTGTTGTCATTACTGTGTGGACACCGTGGTACATACCTGTCTGTCCTTTGTGCTGTTGTCATTACTATGTGGACACCGTGGTACATACCTGTCAGCCCTTTGTGCTGTTGTCATTACTATGTGGACGCCGTTGTACATACCTGTCTGTCCTTTGTGCTGTTGTCATTACTATGTGGACGCCGTGGTACATGCTTGTCTGTTTCACTTAAATATGAGTCAAACTTACTTTTTAAACCCAAATATAGTAGTTCATAAACATATATTACCAATATCACAAAAAAAAGATATCTTAATCAGTAATGCTCAAATAAATAATAAGTAGTGTAAGGATTTCTGCTTCCTTGGTCTAACGTTCAGATATTTCGTTATTTAATATTTGACCGATGGGGCTATTTCGGAATTCATCATTAGCTCATTATTGTATATTTTTCCTGATCTATATATTTGTTGTTTGTGTACAGTCGGTTTTGTTTACAAGTGATTCACAGTTTAGGGTATATATGATTCAGAACAATAGCTTTAAATCAAACCGAAGTTAAATTTACTAAGCTTCAAATCAAATGTATTCTAAGAATATTTGTTTTTGAGATTCAACACCGCTTCCTTTTATAATAAGATAAAACATACCACTTAGAAGTTTGACATAAGACTATTGGTATGTTTTCTTCCAAACCGAGTGTTAGTTAGAATAGGATAAATAATTTAGATTGTCTTTTTGGTGTTTATAAATGCTGTATATTATTTATCATTATTATTTATTAAGATAGAACAATCACACGCATGTTTATTCGTTTATCTCCTTACGGATAACTGGGAACCGTAAAATTCCCGAGGATTAAAGATTGATACAAATAACATAATGTTCTTAGTATCCACAACACAACAACGGAATGTAAAACAAGTATGTTCTTTTATAAGGTTATAATTTGCCCGTGTTATTTATTTCCATAATGTTAATCGCTGTTAGATCGCTATAAATACGTATACCGAGCATCGCCATAGTGATCTATATGATGGCGATATAACAGTTGACGTCACAATTTACATCAGATTGATAAAACAATAAAAAGTGTCCCAACGGGTTGAAGCAATGAGGACTGATTTATTGAGAACTTATTAAATTCTATATAATTGTTCATAAGCTGGTACAGGCTCTGTAGGTCATATGTACATATACCAAATATCCTTATTCTCCAAGGACGCCGATCCCGCTGATTTGGGTCGTAAATACCTGTTAATTGACGTGTATTCGTGATGTAGACACAACTGGGTCACCTCTGATACAATGACAAATTTGCGTAGAATGCATTCATTACAATCATAGTTAAAGACAAGGGTCCACAGAGTAAATGTCAATAACTCCTGTTTGTCAATACTGTCGTAGACAGACGTTTTGTTAAAGGTTGTTCTACTTTTTGCTGACATTATAAAACGTTCTTTATCGCAACCGCACGTCTGTTATTGAGAAATATATTGTAAACTGACCTCAAGTATATTCGTCACAGTGATCATTATGCATGTTACGGCAGTCAGAATACCTCATTCAGCACGACATGGTAATCAATAGATCGGTGTGACACATATATAAAAGCAACGGAATGATAGTAATGATGATTGAAACAGTCAGCAACCTAACAGGAACTAGGGAGATTCTGAGACAAATTGAAAGACATCAGGAACTTCCATTAAATAACAGAATCAAACAAGTTGATCGGTAAGGGAAAACCAAACATTATGACGACTGTTTCATTGGTTAGTGCTGTTTGACGCCTCTAGCTTAGTAATTTTAACAAGCTCCAGGATAGCGAATGAACTGTGACATGTGAATTTTACAGGTAGATGAGGCTGCTATGATACCAATGAGAAAAGGAAAGTTAAACATAGGGAAATTAAAGTCTTCAGGTTGTAAGTTTGTTAGTGAGATTAGAACTATTATTAGGATACTATTGGTAAGATATGTGTTGGCTTACAGGAGTTATCGAGGATAGATTTAAATCAATTTGTCATCGAAATCTTGATTTTAAAGGACAAAACTTCCTAAAAAAATATATCAAAATGTAAAATTAAAGGATTGGAGGAGTATTGTAATACCCTCCCGTTTTATTGAAACTTGCTCATACAGCTGCAAAACATACAGGCAAATAAAGGCGAATAGGTAGTCTCCATAGAAATATCAGTCCTCTAGCTACCCCTACTCCAAACTCAACCAATTATGGTCACCATAATATTAATTACACAAATTAATTTTCTAGTAGATATTATCACCCTTGATTAACATGTATACCAAATGAACACTATCATCTATGTTTATACTCACTGACAGAAGGTTTAGGCGCTCTATATAACCACTGACAGAGGGTTTAGGCGCTCTATATAACCACTGACAGAAGGTTTAGGCGCTCTATATAACCACTGACAGAGGGCTGAGGCGCTTTAGATACCCGCTGGCAGAGGGTTTAGGCGCTCTTTAACGTGATACAAGAGGGTTAGGGCGGTCTTTATACCCGCTTGCATGGGGTTTAGGCGCTACATACCCACTGAAAGAGGGCTGAAGCGCATTACATACTCGCTAGCAGAAGGTTGGTGCGCTCTCTTTACCCCATGAAAGAGGGTTTTGGCCCGTTTATGCGCTCTCTATACACACTTTTTATAACCATTGGCAGAGGGCTGATTCGTTCTCTACACCAACTAACAATGGATTGAGTCGCTGCATATACACACTAAATGGCGCTCTATACACCCGCTGATAGAGGGGCATAGGGGCTTGGTACACTAGCTGCCTGGCATTAGGGAATATGACGAATAGTCGATATATTTATTAATTACTAGAAATTGTATCATTCAGGTTGAATGTTGAGAGCAAAATTTGATGGGTTTTGGTATCAGCAGCTAGCTAGTGATTAAGGCAATGTCCTATTATTAATCAACCTTTTTTCATATTGCAAGGAAGAACATATATATAACATTAACAACAAGGAATACATAAACACGTTTAATCCTCAATCAACCACAATGAAATACGGTAGAGAAAGGCTTAACGTCCTATTTACTGGTAGCAATAACAGAAAATGCTGGCTTGCTGGCTGCAGCATCATTTCTGCTCTTATTACCATTTCCTTTTTTCCTTTTTAAATGATAAAATCTGTTTGCTATGACCTTGTGTTAGAAAGTCACTAATTTACCAGAGAGGGCGCATTGTCGTTTTACTTCGATCACAGAAGACAGCTTCATTTTAAAGGATTATAGTATTTATCAACATGTACCCGGTCCTTTGACGTGTCCTATCATCATTTAATTCTACCGAAGAAGTCATGCTCATTATCATTGCATTATATTGGATTAAATATATGCTTTTCAACTATAATTACCATCAATATCACATACAGTAATTCATTAACTAGGCAAATACCCTCAATTAAGAAATCGACATTGTACGCGATACGCTTTTAAAAAAAGAACCAACCTTTACAAAACGCTATGTTACTGTGCAAACCTGTTTTACCGTCCTCTCTGTATCTAAACATGGACAATTCCGTGTGTATACCGCTTCTAATAACTTCTGATATCTTACAAATTACTGTAGATTGACAAAAACATATCGCGATTTCACCTTTCCGTGCTTATTATGTTGACGTGAGAACCGGGGTAGCGACACGGAACGACAAGGAACACTAATATGAGCATGATCAAAATCATCGAACATTACAACACAAAATGAAATCAAATTTCCAATGAAAACATGATGACGACCAATAAACTTGCCAGTGATAACCCCGTATAACGATCAACTCTGTGTTGTAAGTTTAACCGTCAGCGGTAGGCATCTTGGAAATCATCACGTAAATCATGATGTACCTAGCAAGCTCTTGAACACCAAACACCGTACGTTGGGGGATCAGTGTTGTTTTAAAATATAAAAAATGAAAAGCAACGATGGAAAAAAATCCAAATCGTCCCGGTTTGAGAAAAGTTTGTAGTGTTCTTGATTGGGAGTTTGATTATAGCGATAATTGCGAAAACAACAACATGATAGCCTAGCGTATGCTTTTATTGGATGCAATGAGTCTCCTAAAATAAAGAGTAAGTATATATTGGATAAATGTCATATTATGCAGAAAAGGGTGATATACTGTTTCATGTATTATACAATCTTTTGTTTGTTTTACAGTAAACCAGGGTCAATCCATCCATACGCCAATGGGAGTTGAGGTGTACCCGGTGTCCTTCTATATAACACTCACGCTTTTGATAGCCGCACAGTTTGTCCTAGGACTTACGCTTAACCTCGGAACTCAGATCAGTTTGTTATCTCAGCAACTCCTCCAGGTTAAGAGGGGCAACCTCTTTGTTCGGACACTGGGATGGATCGACACGCTGATTTGCCTAACACTGATGCCATCTACATTTGCTATCATCATAAGTTTTCCAAAAGTAAATTTTCTGTTATGTGCCTTTCATGAGAGTGTGGTATCTATGTCTATATCGGCAACGGCCACATGTGTTCTATTTATATCTTTGGATCGCTACGGGGCTATCGTCACTCCAACTGTACAACGAATAACACACAAAAATGTCAGATTTATTAATATATTTATTGCCATAGTGTCTATATTAGGATTTTTGTTTCCGATCATGTGCCTCTGTTTTGTTACCTCCACGGACGTTCTTACACAAATGACTTCTTCTGGAGTGTTTTGTCGCGACCTTCTATTGAACACAAGTCCTATTTACATCTACGAGGTGTATTTCGTCAGCCTAGCTTCGGTTTCTACCATAACAACAACGATATGTTATATAAAAATCTACAGAATTGCCAAAAGGCGAATAAAGGCAAGGAAAGTCAATGCTATGATGACCGAGAGTGATAGGCCGAGTGGGGTAAGACTCGTGTTTAAACTACAAGAGCGGAAAACGATATGGCTCTCGCTAGCGATCGTTTGTACGTTTTTCCTTTCGTGGGGGCCTTATATTCTCATCGCTGTTTTACAGATATGGATGCACAATACACTGCCATTAGAAATGACCAAAATGTGTCTCCTGTCACTTGGGATGATTTCAACAGTTCTGCATCCAATATTCTACACATTTCTCAACAAGAAAGAAAGTCGTCATGATCAACTGAAACGAATAATGATAGAGGCGGGAAGAGAAAGATTACGTGGCTATGACAGACAGCAGTCAGAGGAAGCGGCCTCCTCAGTGCAAAAACTTGTACATAAGACAATATCACAAGGCATCTCAATTGGTGTAAGCAGTAGACATGATCTGGAAATATTCACAACAAGCCAGGATCATCAAAATACCTGTTCAAATGAAAAAGATGACGGGTTATATGAAGCTAACCACGCTCCTATAACCGTTACCCGGAACCCTTTTCCTAGACGAAGTGACAGGAACTTTTCAGTTACAGATCGCATTGGTAGACGGTCGTCAATATCTGAAACAAACGATATACACTTATCTGGCCAAAGTAATAAAAATAAAATGCGAACACTAAGCTTAGAAATGCAACCTAGTAAAATAAATTCACAATTTCCGAACATTCAAAGCCCAGATACCGATGACCGTCATCTTACCTTATCTCCTGGTTCATGTTATGGTCAGGAATACACAATATTCCAAGGGGCAAGTTCTGAAACAGTTAAATGTGTCCCTGGATTCAGCGCAGGATCACTTAACACCAGTAAATGCCAGCTCAGTACAACGCCCATTGAAACAGTTGATAGTGTATTTGCTTCTTCAGAATCAAATGTAGGATTTAAACCACTCAATCACTATTACAGCGAGGAAATCAAATTCCAGTATGCGAATGCAGCGTTCGAACATTAATAAACAATTAAATCGACATTGGATAAGATAGGTTTAAGATAGGTTTAAATATGAGGAATTTTTATATCAATATTGAAATGATTCTTTCAACATATAATGTTATCCAAGACAGTTCTGTTTATTATATTCCATGATACGCTGTAGCATGGTAAACATTGTGTATTGTAACTTGTATGATAAGTATGTGTCATAACTTCAATAACAAGTTAAAATAAAGTATTGCTACTATCTACCCTTTAGTAGCACTGGTATTGTGTAACATCATATAAATGTTTCAGACAGGTGCTTCCTTTTTTCGTATTTCTACTGGTTATTTTATCATAGTCAGGTTAAATGATGTCATGTTAATACTTTAATAATATGTCAATATAATGATACAAACCTTTAGATAAGACCTAGTTCCTGCTACTAATGTGATCTATTAAATTGTCACTAACACGTAATGAGTGCTTCTAGTCCTTATGACGGAGTAGTTTTATGGCGCCGCATTAGTTTCTATCGATGAAATTTTGAAAGAAGCACACTTATTTCACTCTGTTGTGACCATACTATATTGTAAATCACACTTGTCTATTGTCTTTACTTTTCAATTTCAATTCGTTTATTACTTTGAGCTTTAGGAATCATAAGTATAATGGTCGTATTTGCATTGCACCATAAGCAAGTATAGTTGCATTACATCAGTACAATTAAGGCACCTTAAAATGAGAATATATCCGTCTTATATATCCTCACCCCACTATTATAGACAGCCATATTATTTTTATTCACACTATTGACACTATTATAGACAGCCATATTATTTTTATTCATATGTTGATAAAACCTTTTTAAGAATGTTTAATTGTCCGATTACATACCCCTACAGTGTACGACTGAAGCTCTCGATAGTAACCATATGTAAATATCTAAATATCTGCAATGTAATAGTACTCAAGATCTTTGCTGTAAAAATGTTTTCTCATATTAAAATGAATTTTGATGGTCGTGTACCTGATACAGGAAAAAAAGAAGAAGAAAAAAATCCAAACACCATTAAAAATGTTTTGACATTAGGCATTTTGCACCTGGTTCTTTAATTTTAAAGAGGAGCGTACGTCTTGTACTTCAAGTTAACTGACTAAGTATATATCTTTACATTTTGCGTTAAACATATAATTCAATCACTTGTTAAAACATCTTTGAATTCAGCTGTATTCGTGGGTGGGTTGCTTTTATTAAGCAAGGAAATGGTTTCTCTTTCACTGTTTAGCCTGTTCATGTCGCTTCATAGTGCCGTCCCATCAAGCAGGTTAATTGTTAAATTAGTATATCATGTCAACGGATTTACGGATCAGAAAGAAACAGATTTGTCGGGAACACACCGGCAAACAATAAAAGAATTTCAAGGGGCAAGGAAGACTGTTTTCGTGTGATCTTAAAACATAACTGCAGCCAAGACAAAGGTACGGAGACCTTTTCTTATATTTACACACTTTGCCTCGGAAATATTATTAAATGTCGAATATAGTTGCATGCGAAGGTTTACTTTTCAAACCGCCCATGCGTGGTTAAAACCCAATTTCAAAGAAAATTACTCAACTTTAAAGAAAAGACTCTCAGTTAAAGCGCGACGCAGGCAGCTAATAGCGATGACAAATGCTAGAAAGGGCATGCTAGATGTGGTGACACCATGCACTTATACTCACGTATTTAGTTTCAACAAAGTATGCAGAAATTTAGTTGTATAGGTAAGCAGCGGAATATGAAGAACTAGGCCTTTTTGAAACGGACATTCTGCTACAGCATATCATTGAGTTGTTGTCTAAGGCTATCACACTGGAGATGTGACATACCAGTGTCCTCAATCATACCCATTCAATCACAACTAAAACGTAACTTCGCAATGATTTAATATGTCGCATCAATTGTAGTATATATACACAAAAAAATGTGATTATCTGTGAAATGAGTAGATGAAGGACATAATTCGAGGAGGTATCATTTATCTAGTAAATTAATTGTTTGTTTTAAGATTTCAGGTTCTCGAATGAAATTCAAGTTAAGTACGACGAAGAAAATGATCAACCAATTCCTTGAACGTTCGTTCCATTATTCTAGTAAAAGACCATCCAGAGTTTTTATCAAATTTAACAAAGTTTATCAATACAAATAAATCAATACAAATAGATTTTAAAAATAAACAGTGTCCGTGTGATCGGCACAAGGACAATAAATAAACAAACTAGAATACAGAGTTGCAAGCACTTTCGCAAATGTATGGGTTCATCAGAAAAATATATATTTACACAGTCCCAAAGGTCTGGCAAGCTTATTTTCATTATATTTGAAGACATCAGAGTGGAACAATCCTGTCAATTCGTTCTTATACGAAATCTGATCCCAAAGCTTTTATCATTTTTTTTTAAACAATGAGTATTCTTAACCACTTTGGATCATGCAATTGTGCAAATGCATTCCTTGTAGTAGTTCCTGAATTTTATATAGAAGTATATTGCCTTTATATATGTCCAGTCAGACAGTTGTTCGATGTTTGAGCGGATTAAAAACCGTGGATCTCTGGATGTCAGCTTTAAATTCCGTTTTTTGGAAACAGTATAAAGAAACAGAAGCTGTATATGCATTAAAGGTTATCAGATCTAGAGATACAATCACACTGATGGATTTAAGGTTATCAGATCTAGAGATACATTCACACTGACGGATTTAAGGTTATCAGATCCAGAGATACATTCACACTGATGGATTTAAGGTTATCAGATCCAGATATACAATCACACTGATGGATTTAAGGTTATCAGATCTAGAGATACATTCACACTGATGGATTTAAGGCTATCAGATCTAGAGATACATTCACACTGATGGATTTAAGGCTATCAGATCTAGAGATACATTCACACTAATGGATTAAAGGTCATCGAATCTAGAGATACATTCACACTGATGGATTTAAGATTATCAGATCTAGAGATACAATCACACTGATGGATTTAAGGTTATAAGGTTATCAGATCTAGAGATACATTCACACTGATGGATTTAAGGTTATCATATCTAGAGATACAATCACACTGATGGATTTAAGGTTATCAGATCTAGAGGTACAATCACACTGATGGATTTAAGGTTATCAAATCTAGAGATACATTCACACTGATAGATTTCAGGTTATCAGATCTAGGGATACATTCACACTGATGGATTTAAGGTTATCAGATCTGACTGCACGTGCCAAGTAGTTGATTTAAGGTCAAGATAGGGTAAACAGAGAGAAAGTTGACAGGGTAGATAACAGAGAAGTAGTAGAAAGAAGAATTTAAAGAGTAAATATGGCTGATGATTCAGCAGCGGTTTCATGGTTTTAGCAATACAAAAATACGAAAAAAATGGGATTTATCAATGACGATATGTATTATTGTACAATATTCACATTATTAGTGTCGATGTGTTCATTATTCGCATGCAACTTATCAACTAGAACAAACATGAAACACACACATAAATGTATATATAACAACGTATTTACAAACCCTAATATTTAAAGACTCATGCATCAATGTGAAGAAACACAAATAATTCATTTTACAAATACACACGAACGTACACCTATTTATACATACACTGTATAAGTTATTTATTTTCAAGTCTGATTTGCCTTTCAGTAAGGAGTAAGTACATGGACATACACGAATATACACATACATATATATATATATACAAACATGCTTGCATACATACATACATAACATACATATACATATACATACATACATACATACATACATACATACATACATACATACATACATACATACATACATACATACATACATACATACATAAGCAGCATGCATGTAATATTTAATTTGCTATGCATACAAGTAAACGTTCACATATATTATATTATATATAGTATTTAAATACTCGTGCATATATATGAAATTAAATGAAATTAAATATCTCACCCGAACATACACAGAGTATATACGCATACACTTATGGTTATACACAGGCTTATATATGTATGTAATCCACACATAAACACACGTACAAAATATACTCACACGCGTGCACCTATTTATACATATATAAATACATACATTAGTAGCATGCATGTAATATTTATTATGCCAACCATGGATGGAAATGGGTTGGGTTTTTTGGTATGATATCTGTATAACTATTTTAATGAAAACTGACATTATGTACAGAATGTCAAGTCATTTTTTGGCTGTGTTTACTGTGTAAACATGACAGTCACTCAATGGCCCTCTGGTACAAGGTCCGATATGTCATTGTGTGTCTTGACGAGTATTTTGGGCGAGTCCTGTGCAACTTTATAGAAGATACGTCCGTCGTTTGTCCAGTAAGAGTAAATGTTCTTTGCTTTTCTGGCCTTGCCTAGACTTTTAATCAATGCCTGACGATTAGCTGTTAAGTCCTCTGATATAAAAATGTTTTGCCTGGGTTCTTTCAATTTACTTTTTGCCTAAAAAAATAAATTTTTGACCTTCCAGTTCCGCAGGCGACAAATGATCTGAGCTTTACCATTCCTCACATGGATTTAAGGTTATCATATCTAGAGATACATTCCCACTGATGGATTGAAGGTTATCAGATGTAGAGGTACATTCACACTGATGGATTGAAGGTTATCAGATCTAGAGATACATTCACACTGATGGATTGAAGGTTATCAGATGTCGAAGTACAATCACACTGATGGATTTAAGGTTATCCGATCTAGATATACATTCACACTGATGGATTGAAGGTTATCAGATCTAGAGGTACATTCACACTGATGGATTTAAGGTTATCAGATCTAGATACATTCACACTGATGGATTTAAGGTTATCATATCTAGAGATACATTCACACTGATGGATTGAAGGTTATCAGATGTAGAGGTACATTCACACTGATGGATTTAAGGTTATCAGATCTAGGGATACATTCAAACTAATAATTTAAGAATAACACCAAACACGAGTTTGTTGTCGACACCATTTATTTAAATAAAATCTCATTCAATATAAAAGCAAACAAAAACGTCATTACTTCATTTAATTCATAACAATAATGCTAATAAAACATTAATTAAAACGAATGCAAGTACAAAGTGTAACAAAACTGGCACATCAACATATCTGTGTATAATTTACAAACGCTATTGACAGCTTCAAGAATAACCTGTCCTTTTCATAAATAAATATCTGTCTACGTTCAACCACATTGAAGAACACATACAACATACCAAAATAGAATGTTGCAGTTTAAACAATAATTCAGAATGTAGTTCTGATAGAAAACCAAACCAATCGGTTCGATATATGAAATATTCTTCTTACAATAGGTTGTTTACTTACACACATGTCATCATATCTTCATAACAGATTCGTATTACCTCACCCGTGTTAAAAAGGAGTTTCTTCAAATTATTTGTGGGGAAAATGAGATATATACTCTCCTTTTATTTGTAGTCTATATGCCCCAGATACCGAATTTACATGTTTATGATTTATATAATGTAAATGCATATCATTTGTAAACTTGCACTATCTTACTATCGTTCAGCAGGGTTTATAGGAACTACGTACCGAACTAGGGCAGTTTCAGGTTTTTTAGGAAATTATCCAAACAAGTGTCCTTATGGAAGATATTCATTATCACTCTGGAAAACATACATTTATGTACATATAAACAGAGGTTTGAAGATCGGAAACTTGATACATAAAATAGAGCTCCGCCATTTTGCATCTTGTGTGTTAAGGTTTGGGATGTGAAATCGGCTGTCAAATATAATATATCATTGGCTTTTTAACATTTATATAGGGTATTTAGTACTACCAACAAATACCTACATTATGTATGTATATATTCTGTCTATTATCACAAAACACTATATTATGTCTTCAACGTTATCTATGTACTGAGCTCCAGATCATCCGTGTTTAACCAGCGCGTATGTACGAAGTATAAACAACGCCCCTTTATCCATATTACATTGGAAACGTGTCACTCCACAGGGAGCATTATTTAGTATGATATATGGCAAACGTAAATCGTTTTTTTCACCGGCTCATTTGTTCGGTGACAATAGTTGGAATAGTCCCTGCTGCGATTGCTCCGACGAGTCTGCGCTATTCTTATGTCATCATATGTAGCACCCCCTCTTAGAAATACCGATGTAAATACTAGTAAATAGTGTGAGAGTTCAAGTGGCCATTATAGGTGATTACATTGTACCTATTAGGCCTCTTACTGGTATATGATGTGTGCGTGATACTAATCATATCGTCATATACCTAATACAGTACATCGCAGTTAGTTAAAATGTCCGTAACATATTCCACCTTTGTTACACTGAAATACTCGCAAAATTTCAAATGCTCACAATATTGCAGTTGTTTTGTGTGGTATTTTGGCTAAATTTGGGAGATAAACAATCAACAACAGCAGAAAAATATACATAGATCAAATATTTTAGGGTTAAAGGGGGTTCTGATAAAATTGTTTCTCCAAACTAGCATTAGTTTTGATATGAAAAGTCTTTTGAAAATGATATCCAAATAAAAAGTGTCGCACGGCACTTACATAACCGAAGTTTTGTTTTAGTAAATATTCCAAATATATTATATATTTAAATTGGCAATGTAACGATAATCATCGATAACAACTTTGAGTGCCGTTTTCCTACAAGTGTTCCTTTTGGGTACAGTGACGTTAATAAACTGTTGGATGGAACAAGGAACTGGGTGCGTAATGTTTCGCAGGAATCGCTGAACAAATCTATCCATCATTTTCTATAGTTGGGATGGGGGGAGGGGGGGGGATCGTGTTGTCAAACCTTTCAATTTCGATTTCGCTCTCGGACTTGACACTGTCTCTTTTCCTTGTAATAGCTTACCTCATTTAATTGAACTTGTGTATTCTGTACTTCTTAATTACTTTTTTTTCATTTCAGACAAAAATGTCAATTTAAAGTCATCAAGTAGACATGTAAATGTTATGTCATCAATGAGGTCTGAGATAACAGGCGTTATCAACTGATTACACATGTTGACATTCCAACTGGACAGGTGAATCTGATTATACATGTGCCAAATAGCTATAATTATCTATAGGTTACCGGTTCACAGTGTACAAAATGTACTTATCAACATCAGTGGCCTTGGGGAAATGACCAGCACACGGCAGGTGTCAATGTACCAGGACTGATAACATCGGCGATTAGCTATGTTTAAACAAAAAAGGGAAAATTGTCTGTCGGTTGTATTTATGCCGTCGTGTTATTCAGTCAAGGACACTGCTGACTCATTTTATCAGCTATTTCCCTCGACCTACTAAGCTTTATAACAAGCGTGACAATCTAGATTGTTTTCCCTGAATCTATTCAAGAGTAGCTTCACTGCTTCTCAAACCTATGGTGTTTATAAGCCGTAGATGGTTTGGTACTCAAAGGCTTGATAAGAATATCATGTTTTCCGTGACTGCTTTTATAAATGCAGGTTGATGAAGATTATGGAGTTAATGGTTCCCATCATGATCGCATTGCTAAACCTGCTATTTGCGAGACAAAGGTCGATGTTTTGATAATGTTCATAAGTTTGTCACTACCCCCGGCTCTCGCTTTATTATTTTTAATTTGAACTAAATTTACTTGGCGGATGTCGTCGATAAAGTAGTAGACGCTTAATGTTTTAGAGCATGTGGTCTTATGCTTCTTGAACTTTTTTTCAATGGTCCCCATGTCAATCTTCCCATTGTTTATATTTTGCCGTAGTCATATCGATTTTAAGTTTGAATAAGGGTTTCGTTGATGCTTCACCATTTCCTTGTTTTTGTTGTTTTCTCTCCCTCGCGCTTACGGTATACAGATGGAATCCAGATGACTTTAATTTCTTTGTCAATGTAATCTGATATTAAGATAAATAATCAACTCAGTTTATGATTTTCATACGAGTTGTAATGATGAATTCATTTTTGTTTTTCAATTAAAAAAACAAACTGGAAGTCCAACAAAGGCACAGACTCAACATCAGTATAACACTGTAACAATATATCAAGTATCACTATTGGATGTGACAAACAGATAATCAGCATGGTTTCTACGGCACGACATCAACATAACTCTATCATTTTGTTTCTGATAATAACAATTCTTAATGGATTTGTCCTCAGATATTTGTTGTTCCAGAATTTGTTTGGATTACCCATACAACAACAAAGTTTTAATAAATCATGTGGTCTACAAAACAGATATATTCCTACTAAACATTTATATCTACTTAACCTTTAATGCTTAACGTTTTTATTACAGGAAGTTAGGCTATCATCTCACAATCAATACGTGTTTGTATATCACAGTACAATATTACATAAATTTGATACACTAGACTTTCATTATGATTACGTCTTCCTCAGATAAGAAATTATAGCAATACATTTTATCCAAAGATATCAAACCATAGCAACATATGCTACCATTAATGAATACTTTGCTGACTTAACATCAATAGGATAATCAAAGCATCATGATTTTGGTTTGTTTTGTGTTGTGGTCCTTTTCCCCACCGCTACTCTTGAAGCAGGTAGTGCTTTTGCCCGTCCTCTGCCTCGCTCAGCTTTTTGCTACAAGAGAAAATAACGATTACAGCACTATACTTACGTGAATTACCAAAAGGCGTTATACACAACAGAACTAATCAATGTGAAATAATTATCATCAGGTGTCTACCAGTAGACATACTGTCCAGCCCACCCACTAGTAAATACTGTCTCATTGTTCAGTGAACTAACTACTATATATAAAATATTTTTTTGCTTAATCCACAAAGTTTAAAGACAATGTCTTTTCTTTTCTTTTTACTTTTGACTGAAGCCATTTCGACAGGTATACAAGGAGTAATTGAAACAAATTGTAAGTATATATAATTAGTTGTAACAGAACTTACCCTTTCCTGATATCGCCTTTCAAAGTAGTCCATATCTGATTCCCCTGGACGTCTCATAGCCGACATTCTCTCCGCCAGGTCAGCATCCGTCTCATCTGAATGTCCTGCACCTCCTGGGTACCAGCAAATTACAGCGTGTTACTGAACTTTAAAACTTTTTACATTCTTTACCAAAGACACCATTCTTATAAAACAACTGTTTATTTTGAAAGGAACAAATATATCACACTTTTGTGAGAAACAATGTACCTGCTATAGCTCTTTGTTTCGTCTGATGATGTTTGATAGACTGAACGTTTCCCCGGAGGAAAGGATTGTCCGACGAAGTAATAGGCTGGTTCAAAAACTCAAGGGAAGGTGCACCTAAAACAGAGGTTACATATAAAAACCTGTATGTAAAATAGATCATTTATAAAACAAATCGTATGTAATATCGCAAGAACGATCTTTAAATATGTATGTTGGCATTTCAAAAACCATTACAAAGGAGGGGGGGGGGGGTTAATTTTAACGAGTTTACGAAGTTAATCTATTTCCCATGTCATGTACATTCGACAATTTACTAGCTAACCACATTAGTTGTTAAGTTGTTCATTCAATCACATTTTCAGTTGAGATGGCCAATGTGTAATGGTCAATTTCACCGGCAGGAATATTAAACAGCCACGCCAACACACAAATAACAAAATCACTCAGTAGAGGTAAAATAAGATACCTTCATTTTGGTGGTCATTGGGTCTCATCACAGGGGTCAGTTGACCTCTCGTCAGAATAACCTGTTTCATTCAATTTGATTTCTTCCTTAAGGTTTTTTTTCAACCAAACTTCTTATAACATTGTTCTTAAAAGACATTTGCACACCAATGTGGTATTGCATAAAATTAATTAAAGTAATCTATAATAAAAATCTATCTCAATCATTAATAGTCAACCGTGATTGTGGTTTTCGAGCTGTTATAATGAGTAGCCTGTACGGTAATATCCAAGCTGTTATAATGTGTAGCCAGGACTGTAATATCCAATCTGTTATAATGAGTAGCCAGGCCTGTAATATCCAATCTGTTATAATGAGTAGCCAGGACTGTAATATCCAATCTGTTATAATGAGAAGCCAGGACTGTAATATTCAATCTGATATAATGAGTAACCAGGACTACGGTTTTCAATCTAATATAATGAGTAGCCAAGACTGTTATTTCCAATCTGTTAAAATGAGTAGCCAGGACTGTGGTTTTCAATCTAATATAATGAGTAGCCAGGGCTCTGGTTTTCAATCTTATATAATGAGTAGCCAGGACTGTGGTTTCCAATCTGTTATAATGAGTAGCCAGTACTTTGGTTTTCAATCTAATACCAGTACTTTGGTTTTCAATCTAATATAATGAGTAGCCAGGGCTCTGGTTTTCAATCTAATATAATGAGTAGCAAGGACTGTGTTTTCCAATCTGTTACAATGAGTAGCCAGGACTGTGGTTTCCAACCTGTTAAAATGAGTAACAAGGACTGTGGTTTCCAATCTGTTATAATGAGTAGCAATGACGGTGGTTTCAAATCTGTTTTGATAAGTAGCCAGAACTGTAGTTTCCAATCTGTTTTAATGAGTAGCCAGGACGGTGGTTTCCAATCTGTTTTAATAAGTAGCCAGAACTGTAGTTTCCAATCTGTTTTAATGAGTAGCCAGGACGGTGGTTTCCAATCTGTTTTAATGAGTAGCCAGGACTGTGGTTTCTATTCTGTTATAATGAGTAGCCAGGACTGTAGTTTCCAATCTGTTTTAATGAGTAGCAAGGGCTGTGGTTTCCAATCTGTTAAAATGAGTAGCCAAGACTGTGGTTTCCAATCTGTGATAATGAGTAGCCAGAACTGTGGTTTTAAATCTGTTATAATGAGTAGCCAGGACTATGGTTTCCAATCTGTTATAATTAGTAGCCAGGACTATGGTTTCCAATCTGTTATATTGAGTAGCCAGGAGTGTGGTTTCCAATCTGTTATAATGAGTAGCCAGGACTATGGTTTCCAATCTGTTATAATTAGTAGCCAGGACTATGGTTTCCAATCTGTTATAATGAGTAGCCAGGACCATGGTTTCCAATCTGTTTTATTGAGTATTAATTCAACTAGAACACTGACAGGTCAGTAAGGGCCCCGTCTTGTGGCAATATATCCCCCATAATCATCAAGAAGCAATCTCCCCATATAGCTGAGCTTGACGTTTGACATTTGGACTTCAAAAAGAATCGCAAGGAAGCAAAATATACATTTTACATGTACTATGATGCGAGTCTTGTTTCCTTCCACCTCCATATTTGTTGGGCTAACAGAAATGTAAATACCGGTGCAATACTCATTTGTTAGCTTTGATTTGTTTTATTTCACCTTATATACCTCCTCCATCAAGAGCATGGGTCAAAGTCAGAGATCCATTTTGTCTTTGACCTTTGGACCGAAATGACCTTGACCATTATTCCAGTGACCCTGATCTTTAGTCAGTTGAATTATTCTTTAATTCCGACCAAATTTGCTTCATAATATCATAACAAAATATTCATCAGCGAAAATACAAAACTTGACCTTGACCTTTTGGACCCCGTAGCCTGGACTTTAGGTCAGTTGACTCTGTGTTAAGTTCAGAACAAGTTTGCTACATAATAACATAAAAAAAGTTCATCAGTAAAAAGATACAATAATTGACCTTGACATTGACCATGTAACCTTGACCTTAAGTCAGTTGACTCCTTTTTAAATTCGGACCAACTTTGCTTCATAATGTCATAACAAAATGTACATCAGTGAAAAGATATAAAATTGACCTTGACCTTTGTTCCAGTGACCTTGCCCTTTGGTCAAATGACTCCTTGTTTAATTCCCACAAACATTGCTTCAAAGTGTCATAATAAAAAATGTTCACCAGCAAAAAAATACTAAATTTTACCTTGACCTTTGACCGAGTGACCTTGACCTACAGTCAGTTGACTCTTTGATAAATTCCGACCAACTTTGCTTCATAAAGTCATAACAAAATGTTCATCAGGGAAAAGATTCAAAATTTGACCTTTGACCCAGTGACCTTGACCTTTGGTCAATTGACTCCTTGTTTAATTCTGACCAACATTCCTGCATAATGTCATAACAAAATGTTCATCAGGGAAAAGATATAAAATTTACCTTTCCCCTTTGACCCAGTGACCTTGACCTTTGGTCAATTGACTCCTTGTTTAATTCTGAGCAACATTGCTTCAAAGTGTCATACCAAAATTTTCACCAGTGAAAAGATACAAAATTTAACCTTGACCTTTGACCCAATGACCTTGACATTTGGTCAGGTTGACTCCTTGTTTAATTCTAATTAATTTTGCTTCATCATGTCATAACAAAATGTTCATCAGTGAAAAGATGCAAAATTTGGATTTGACCGTGACCTTTGAACCTAATGACCTTGACCTTTGACCTTGAGTTTTTACCTCAAAGTGTATTTTTGTGAACTGAACATCTTGACCAAGTTTCATGTACATCGGTCAATAAATACCAAAGTTATCAGCCAGGAACAAAATTTGTGGACGGACAGACAGACAGAGTGATTACTAAAGGGCACCCGTATCTCTGATACGGGGCCCTAATAATATTAAGTCCATTCCTCAAATGAACTTAGATGTTACAAGTACCTTAAACCCAAACAAAAAGGCCAGATTACAATGGTAAATTATTTGATGTCACATTTTTTTTTTTTTTTTAAATACCACAGTGATAGCTACACAAAAAAACACACATAATACAAATTGAAAACACTAATAACCTTGAAAATTAACGTTTAGGTGTACGTGGGTCAAATAATGATTTACACAAAAACCAGGAATCAGCCAAATGTAGGGATTTTTTTTTATTTGGCCTTAGTACCTTACAATGTATTAATGGACTTACCTGTTCCACTTGGGTCAAGTCTCATGTAGCCATCCATTAACGAAGAGAAGCCGGTCACTCCACCCATGGCCTGGTAGGGAACACCTTCTTGACCAACAGGATGACCTCTAGCTAATCTCTCATCTTTGGTTTCCACTATCATCTCATGTGCATTGTATGGCTCTCCACAGCCACATGTATAGGAACTTTTAAATCTCTCACATTTACAGCCACCTTTTATAAGTAAGAAATTCCACACATTAACTGCTGTCTTCATTAAAGAGTAACAAATCCCACAAATCGACACCTCAATGTAAAGTATATGACTGCTGCAGACATTAATTGTTTGTGTAACTGTGTATCAACAGCTTTGTTTTACATTTATCATACATGTGATAAAAATAACCATATAGCAATTTATTAAGCTTCATTTATTTAATAACATACATACCCATATAGATGTTTGGAATTACATCTGTATCATGGTCATATTCAAAACATACATAAGTCAAAAAACAAACAAAAACTGACTGACATGAAATGTAAATTTAAAAAAAAGTTTTTTCCTGAATTAAGAGTATGGAACAGGAAATGAACCCTTATGAGAAAATGATTAAAATATTACCTTTTCCTCAGATTTGTGCTCATACAATTGGGTGATAATTATGCATTAATGCAATATATATGTTCTTGTTGTACCTAGCCTTTTACAGTATGTATATCAAACCCTTACCTGTTTTACATTTAAATGGTTGTTTTGAGGAATGGTCGTCAGAAAAGTGTTTACATGTACACCTCAGGGCCTGACTCCCATTACGGGGCACAAAATGGTAGGAAACACAGCCACACCCCTTCACTTTACAGGGCAGCAATATTGGACGATCATCTGGAAGGTTTTCAAAGTCTGTTTTGTGACTTGAATATCTACATGAATAAAACAGGGATTGGTCTGAAGATACAATAAATATTAAATTCAAAATCTTTTAGAATTGGACGATTGTTCAGAATGCTCTCAAAGTCAGTTTTGTGACCTGACTATCTACACAAATATAACATGGATTGGTCTGGAGATACAATATAATTTCATTAATGTATTTTCTTTTGTGCAAATTTCTAAAGGATTCAACTTCCTATTGAACCAACATTTATCTTGCATATCTGATATTAATCTTTACAGATGTTTATCACATTGAAAAGGAACTACATCGAATTATGTTAACGTTATAAAATGTATGTACAAAAAGAATAAACAAGTGAGAGTGTGGTTTATTACTTACTTGTGAGTGCAAAAACAGTTTGTTTCTGGACCTACAAGTTTACAGTCCATGCCATTTGGTGCTGCCCATGCTGTGAATATTCTATTTTTAAGCCGCTAAAAACAAAAACAAAATACAAAATTTAAAAACAGGAAGTGATATACTTGGCAATGTATGAATTTGTTGCCTTACTTCATAAAAATATTTCATACATCTTGTTTTTTTAATATTCTTTTCATTTCTGCTCAGTCAAACTATATAACTAGCAGAGAAAGGCTCCCGATGAGTTTTGGTGTTCTAAGGTACAACTGATCCACTTTTCTAGTTGTAAAACATTAAAACAAACAGATATAATCCATATAAACAGTATGATCCGTGACTGATCAGGGATGTTCAAATTTCATATTTAGAGTACTGGACCACAGCTGGCTGATGCTGACAAAACCTACTAGTCCAACCTATGTTTTCATATGAAATACTGAAAAATGTCACCAGCCCTTACATAAAATCTATTACTTTCAGGCACAGGACTTGAGATATTGCCTTGATATGTGCTCTCATCATGTATATCCACAACTATACCCTTACCTCCTCTGTAAATAAAATGAGCCAGAATATGGTCAAAGTAGTTTAAATGCAGCTACATATTAATGTCCAAAACTAGTTATATATAAAAAGCTACTTCTTTTTAATATCCCATGACTTACAAGGTTTTAAAGTTGAGATTTTTTTTGAATTGAAAAAAACACATATTGCTTTATGTCTTTTTAGATAGTGAGATATTGCTGTAAATCAGCAGGAATCAGTCTCCAATAATATATATAACCTCTGTAGTACCATATTCTTAAATACTACCTTTACCGTAGAAAACAAATATGATACTGATCATTATGTACATAAGATACATCTCTTTATTTATAGATCAACATTTGCCTTGTAGCAGAACTTTATTGGCTTGATCCCTGGGAACCAAGTTGCTCGATTGGTAGTGTCTGTCAAACAGTTGGATGGTCCCTTGGTGCATTTGTCTTTCTCCTGTTACAGTATAAAATGTTAAGGCTTACCATTGGCAGGACTTTTTTCTTGTAAGCTTCATACTGCTCCGGTGTAAACATGACACCACCATCATCATCTCCAACTATGCTGAAATATCAGAATTAATAATGTCAGTCATATGATAAAAAAAAACTTGAAACATTTTGTAAACCATATCAGAATAAACATAGAAATACTGTAAATTTTATCAGTGCAAAGTATGGATACTGCATTTACTCTGTAGTGTATCAGTAACTGGATACTTCTTTATGAGTGTAAACATAAGGACTGATTACATGTGAAGGGGAACTGGACTGGGTCGATCTTCGGCGACCAGGAATCTCAATCGGTAGAGCATCCGTCTAGAGTTTGAAGTGTCCTGGGTTCGAACCCTGTTCTGGCCATGCACTTTTCCTCTCCTGTTACACATGCAGGGAAGGCAACACATGGATTTCACCCCAAATCTCTAAACTCTGTAAAGTACTTTAGTAGGGTAGGGAAGACTATTTCATATTTTCACAATATATTGTTTACATACCAGATGTAAGTTGATCGACCATGTCAATAATCGACTGCACTATTTCATGTTAACCATATCAAAATATATACCTAATGTATGAAATACATCTTTTGATCACATTGATATTCTATCTTACTGCCAATATATCTGGATATAAAAAAAACTACAGTGTACTGTACGTGTAGGATTTCATCCTCAAACCTAGACAGAGTTTCTAATCAACGCGCTACATTTATATCAACACTACTCACACTTTTATCTAAGACTATAACTTTGACTACTGTAAGTCTTCATACTGTCAAAAGAAATGCATTTCAACTGTTTCACAGTTTCAAAATACAGGGACGTGAGAACTTGTTACAGCTATATTTGACCCTAAATTAACAGATTAAGGTGTTCAGAGTAATTTTACATGTTTTATGCGTTAAGATCGACGTTCGGTAAAAATGCCAACCCCAATGATTACATAAGTAAAATTACTCTGAAAACATTAGTTAATTAGGTCTAAATATGTACACTGTAACAAATTATCAGGTCCCTATGTTTCATACATGTGATCTACGTGCCTGCACAGGTGTTCGTTACAAATGTCCGAAATACACATACTGTATGCTATACTGATATATATATGGGTCACAGCACCATATAACGTTACATGTAAATTTAGCGTATGTGCATTTCACTGTTTCAGACATTTGTAACGAGCCCCTGTAATGAGTGGAATATATGGGCATTTTTTATATCAGATTTGTATTTACCGTTTATATTCCAGGTAAGCATCAACTGACGCGCCAGAATTTCCACCAAACTTCAAATGATACTGCCTCTCAGCCATCTTAAACTATGAAAGTAGCGAACCAGCAAAACATGTAGGGCTATTCTGAAACTGCTTCTGACACTTCGAACACACGATGCAAAGGTTATTTTTGTTCCTTTTTTGTCAATTAATGATATATAGAGGAATATTCAAATATACAGCCATATCTGGCAAAATATAATCCTAGATTCTCCACCGATACAATATTGAAGCGTTCAGCTAGCAACATGTAAACAGGAAGAAGAGGGGAGGTAACTCTAATTTCAAAATATCTCTGGAATATTTAATACGATTTAATACGATAAGTAATGGACGCAGGCTGTAAGCATCTGTGTCCATATTAGTTGATATAACAATATTTACAGTATGCTATACTTCTGTTGTACAATTAGCATGTCCTTCATCATATATATAAAATTAAGTTAATTATTTGTTGGTATTTTCCCAGTGATTGTCCAGTAAAATTTCAAAATGTTTGACATCCTCTGCATCTATGACATGTTGCGGCAAGTTGTTCCAGGCATCTACTACGCTGAAGCTGAACAAGTTTTTTCTAATGTCTAGGTTACAGCGCTATTTGAATATTTTTTGTGAGTGTCCCCTTGTCCTGCTGGTGGTATCCATATTGAAACGAATCTGGTCTGTCGTCTCCTCTTGAGGGTTACACTCAAGCCTACTGTATGTCGTGGGAAATGCTGATCACAGATCGTCGTATTAGCCAAGATTGTCAAAGAATAACTCAACGCCTCAAATCAAGTGCAATACATATATTCTGATAATATCATAAGATTAAATATTTATTACAGAGGTACAATATGGAATTTCAACTCTCACTCTGTTTACTCTATTTACAATAAATGATTACAATCTAGAGGATGTCCCAGTATTTATATTAATTGTCTAAATGGTAGCGTCTAAAAA